GTGCGTTTAGGCCAGGGTTCGGCTTTGTGTGGACGGGGCCTTAGTCACAGTAAAAGAAGCAGGACTACACTGAAAAACAGGCCAAGCTCCGATGGTCACAAAAGGTCCTTATTTACAATTTGTCATAGTTGCTGCAAATATCTGCTATGATAATGCTATTGATGAGCACTTATAAAAAAAAAAAAAAACCCTCGCCACAGAAATATTGCCCTATGAACACCTTAGAGCAGCGGTCCCCAACCTTTTTTGCGCCACGGACCGGTTATATGTCAGACAATATTTTTAAGAACCGCCTTTAAAATGTGGGCGGTAAATACGATCAAATAAAATGATACAACAGGCATAGAATCAAATACAAACAGCATAAAAATAAAACTCACTATTATGTTGAATTAGTGGGAGCCCTGAGCCTTTTTCTCCAAAACAAGCCGGTCCCATCTAGGCGTGATCGGAGGCAATGACAAACGAAGTGTGCTCCTGATGTCCAGTCTGCTCCGTAGCTTTGTTTTGGTCGCTGTAACTGCAGAAAATCCCGCTTCACAAAGATAGGATGTTATAGATAGGATGCGTCTTGACCTGAATTAACCTGTGTCGTGAGGTACAGATGCACCGACTGATGTAATTGGGAGAGAATACCCCAATTTTGTTTTTATATTTTTCAAAATAAAACATCACTTAGACTCTGATTGTTGATAAATTACATATATATATTTTTTTCTGTGCGGCCCGGTACCAAATAACCCACGGACCGGTACCGGTTTGCGGCCCGGTGTTTTTTTGGACCGCTGCCTTAGAGCATGTGGTTTCTGTGACACAGGGAGCTGTTAATGCTCTGGCCTGCCAGTGCACTCACAAAGAGCAGAAATAGCCATTGAACCCTCACCTCTTTTAAATTGTCTTTTAATTTTAACAGTAAGAAGCTGTCCATTTAAAATCTTCTGTAGCTCTGCAGTCACATATATATGTAAGAGAACATTCAGGGTCTGTTCAGAATCCACAGTGTGCTGAGAGTTTTAGCTCACGGTGTTCTCAGAGTTTTGGCTCACAGTGTGCTCAGAATTTTGGTTAACCACAGACTGAGTCGAGAAAAAGGGCAGGGTACAAGAAGCTGCTGTTAGTTTTCTAATGGAACCCAAAACTGCACAAAATTCCAACAGGTGAAATATGTGAAACAGGAAAAAAAAAGCAAATAACACTTCTCAGCAGCTCGGGCTGTTGATTACGAAGCTGAAATGTGGAAATTATGACAGGAAATCTCTTGGGGATGTGTTGCAGAGACGAGAGTTGACTTCCTATTCTAGCTCTGCTGGTATTTTGAGCTCTTAAGCAACACGTTCCCTGCAAGAAGGAGAGAGAAGCACAAGAAGGCGAACGCTGAAGTATGGTCAGAAGCTTCTAATTGAGAAAAAGGAAGACATGTGAGTAGCATGTATTTACTTATTTTCCATGTTTTTTTTCTAAAATTCAGAAGATTTTAACATCAGATGCAGAAAATCTGAAAGTTTCCACCCGTGACTGTTGTTCACCTAAGTTTCACCTCAGAGGTTTCAAGTCGTTGCTTTGTTAGTGGAAGACCGGTGTTGCTGAATGTGTGCGTATATACGCTCTACAAGCACATTATAGTGTTAATATGTTGGTCTCCAGGGCAGTGCATGCTTCTGTTAATGGGACAACAGCCATCCCATGGAGGGGCAGCAGAAAGAAACTTTCACTGCTGGAGAAACTCAGGAGCTGTCAGGATGCCTGGTGTCCTGGGGCCCCCTGGGACCGGGATCGGGCCCATGCTGCTATCAGCGGAGCACCAGCTGGGGTAAGAGCAGAATAACCAGAAAAAATACTTGTTTGTTGATATGAAGTTCATAATCTTGAATAATTCAAAAAGTGAGATAACCTGCTGATCAATCTGCTCATTTTTTGACTTAACATGTTTACTCTGTAATTGTCCATTTTGTATAAAAGCAAGTAATTATGAATACGTTTGATTTGCTATATTATTACCTCAAAAGTCACTTAAATGAAATAGAATGTGAGGGTTTGTGATGTTAAAGATAATATAAAAAAGAAAAAAACAACTCTTTCTCCTTTAAAAATGTCCCCCTCCAGTGAAACTCAAAGCATCTCCGGTAAATTGAGAGTTTTCAGAAATCTGAACTGATTTAAAAGGTAGCTGCTCATGCGATGAAATGTCTCGATTAATTCTGTGTACTGACTATTGATTGATCGGTTATTCCTCTGACATCACTTTTAAATTCTTAACCCTCTCAGGCTGATTGTTAGCTTGGTATCATAAGGTATTAAAATACAGCTACAAAAATCAGAATATGAAAATGAAATTCACTGTTTATCTGCAAATCACTTTAAAACGTCCAACAGATATTAGCCTTTATAGTTTCATTGCGCGTAGACTAAAACAGCTGAAGGTGTTTGATGAGTGTGGCGAAGAGATCAGGAAAACCCAAAAGTCAGTGCCTTAGAAAATTATGTCAGTGAAAATTACATTTTAAACAGAAATATCAGTCTAATTTTTTGTTGTTGCCTCGTTTTGAATGCAATACTCCATCAGTATTTTGTGGCGTTGAAACAATCAGACTGTGTTTCTGCTGAGATGTAATGGAGGCCCAGGTCGTTTTTATGCAATGTTGGTTTCAGTGCCTCTCATCTTTTTCTTCACTTCCTTCGCTTTCTGACCACAATCCCAGATATTCTCTCTGTGGTTCCGGTCAGGTCAGGTGTGGTTAATGACGCAAAGTAACACTATCGTCACTGAACCAGCTTTTGTTACTCGGTACCTGCCAAGTCCTGCTGGAGAATAAAATCAGCGTCTCAATAAAAAGGGAAGGATGAGGTGCTCTAAATTTCCTTGTAGGTGAATGGATTTATTTTCTGTAGATTTACTTTGTGCTGGTTAGAAAACCTGGTGGACCAACACCAGCAGATGACATGGTGCCCCAATAATCTACGACAGGAACCTGGATTATGTGTGCCTGTGTAGTCTTCCTTCTCAAGGAGCTTGATTTTGAATTAAAACTCAACCTTTGCTTTAATCTTAGAAGATACCTTAGGAGCAGTGATCAATAGTCCTGCTCCTTATTAACCATTTAGAAATATGTTCCTATTCAGCTCAGAATTTCCTATAACCAATCGTGTCATTATCTCCTTGTGGCTGCTGTCAATGAATGTCTGTTGGACATTTGGCAAATTGGCCATCCTCCAACCAAGTGCATAAAATGTGAATTATAGAACAAAAAACATTTATTTTGATCTTCTTGACTGTGATGGGGTGGAGGCAAGTTGCCTTTTGCCCAAAGACTACTAGATATCAGCGCCAGCCCCCTGAGACACTTGCAGAGGAGTTTTAAAAGATTAATTCATTAACCGACCCATAATAAATCTATACAATAAACAGTGTTGACTTTCTGAATTAAGTGATACAAGGTGATCTTGTCTACACTGCAAAAACCATCTAGGAATAAGTAAAAATTTCATAAATTAGGTGTATTTACCCTTAATATGCACTGAAATTGTTTTTTCCTATTGTAAATGTAAATTGCCATGTTCCATTAGCAAACTTTCTCACCTACCTCCTCAGTTCAAAAAGAAATTCAATTATTTTAAGAAAAAATGACTTATTTAGATTTCAATTTTTTGCAGTGTATAACAGTTTTTTTTTACTTTTCCTTTAAAATTGGGTTCAGACTAATTTCATTTCTATATTTCCATGATCTGAAAACGTGTAAAATAAATAAAGGAAAGAAGTGTGTGCTCATGTAAGCTGAGAATGGAGCTGAACATTTTTAGAAGAATGATGTTTTTATGTTTGAACCTAAAAGTATGGCATCAGTGCATCAACCAGACATTATCCCACAAGAAGAAACAGGAGGAGGTAGTAGCATAAAGACCCAACAAACCCGCAAACTAGTATCGAAATGCCGAGTCCGGATTGCTTTTCTGTCCTAAGTAAAAAACTTAATACACTAACTGAAAGGTTAAATAGCTAATTTGAAAAAGGTTAATATGCTAAGTTGAAAATTAGATAAAATAAGTTCCTATATCAACAATAATGGGTTATGTTGTAAAAATGATGTGTGTTTTATTTAATTTTTTGCTTTATGAATTTCTTACGGAAGTACTCTTTGGGGTTTTTTTCATATTAGGGCAAGTGATATGAAAATACTTATTTTTCAATATTACAATAGTAATAAGGTCTTGTTCTGTCATCCAATAACATAATTGACTTGAAAGTTTGAATTTCTAAGTATTTCACTGAGTGAATATAAAGGGTTAACTAACCATGTGAACAGAACGCTGAGCTCTATTAATCCCAAAAGGAAATTAACTGTTAGTGTAACTCAAACAGTTGTGTAATGGCAGCTGGAAGTCCTTTTGGTCTCCACTCAAACATTCTGGGTTTAGCTACACTTACAATAATGCAGCTGTACCTTTTTTTCATGACTGGCTCGGCAGCCTTGTCCCTGCTGCTCAAAAGCATCCCCACAGCATGATGCTGCCACCACCATGTGTCACAGTAGGAATGGTGTTGTTTGTTGTGTTTGGTTTGCAGTGGTCAAAAAGTTTTGTTTAATTCCAGTTTGACCTGACTTCCTTCCTCTATACCACCTTCTTATGTTTCATCTGGGTATTTTATCTATTTGCTTTTGTAAGGCTGTTGATCAGCTTAGTTATGTTTGAACCGGTCTAAGAAGCTTTTAAAAACAGAGTCTGTAACTTCTTTATTCCTCATAGTCATTTCTGATCCCTTTAAATATCCTCTGTCTCTAAGTCCTCTTTTATTCTGGCCCTCTCATGTCCTCTCTGCTTAGTTCTGTAGTCAAAGTCTTGCTTTAACTCAAAGGGTCTCTGATCCAGGTCAGCTTATGAACAACTCTCTCTATGACATCAACAGTTCCCTTTTTTGTTTGACATCTGAAAATAAAACAGACTCCTTTTTAGGCCAAATGCAGAAGTACTGTTGAATAATATCGTGTGCCTATCAGGGAAATGACATTACAAAATGAATGCACCAACGGTGGAGAGGCACTGTGAGTAGCAAAATGCTTTTTCTCTCTATATCAGGATCATTTCAAAGTATGGTTTGCTGTTAACTAGCAAGAAATGCAAAATGTTGAGCTGCAGCGTCAGGTTATCAACCGGACCAATTAAAGCAAAGGAAGACTTTTTCTGTAGCATCTGTGTGGTGTTGGGTTGTGGAGGTTGTGGTGTGAGATAGATAAAGAGCTAGAAATGATTCGGCTGTTGGGCAGTTGTGAATCGACCAAACAGTCTCATGCGAACGTTGTCTGTGTTGCTGCATCTCTCCGTGTTCAGAGTTAAGCGGCTCAAAGTGATCTTGTCTTTATTTCTGTGCTTTCTGGTCTAAAAGCCACTTCCTGCATGCATTGTTTTAGTATTTTATGCTTTCTGGTGTGTAGGAACACCTCTAAGCTGAGTTTAATGGCTACATGGATGTGCTTTTTTCTTAAACAACTCCACTGTTTGTCAACCAACCGCTTAAAATGCTTGTTGTGTCTGCTTCCAGGAAAAAGAAAAAAAAAACAGACGATGCAACAGTTTCTATTTTTAATCCTTTATTTTTGGTATAAATGTTAAAATCGGTGATTCAGTTTTTCAAAATGCTGCTTTTTATGATGAAGATTCAAAACTTTTTCAAAACTTCCTGCTTTGAGCAATGCTCTTCATGCATGTTACTGAGACAAGCTATCATCTGATCAGTGGTGTCAAAAGTACACACATATGTTACTTAAGTAGAAGTATAGATACGGCAGTTTAAAAACACTCTGGTAAAAGTTGAAGTATCAACTTGAACTCTTTACTCAAGTAAAAGTGAAAAAGTATGTGCTCCAAAAACTACTGAACGTATAAAAGCATAAAGTAACCTTTAAAAAAAACAGCCAGATGCCGCTATATGAATTAAAAGCTCAATTTTTTGAGTATTTTAAAGAATTCTTTGAGATAGGGCCAAGGATGAGGGAGGTCTGTTTGGTCTCCATCTCCCGATACGCTCTCGCCTGTGTCCGACTTTTAAGACATTTTAACATCTTTTTCTGAATCTGACATTGTAGCATGGCATAAAGGATTCACGTTTGCAGTTTGAAGAACACCTGCTTGCTTCTGATGATTTCCTTTAGCTAAGCAATGAGTGTTTGCGTTATATGGCTTTTCACTAGATGTGGATGGAGCCAATGATCTGCATTGGATGGAGCACATGACGTGAAATAAATATTTATAAACAATAAACCTAAGCCAAGAGTAACGAGTAACCTTTGTTTTAAAAATGTAAGGAATAGAAAGTACAGATACTTGTGTGAAAATGCAATGAGTAGAAGTCAGAAATAGGAAGAGAAATAAGTAAAGGAGTAAAGTAAAGAAAGTTTTGTACTTCGTTACTTGACACCTCTGCATCTAAGATATATATAAATATATATATATATGTATGTATATCAGAAAAAATTTAAATAAATAAATATATATACATATTTTCTGAATTGGTATTTGTGCACAAAACAATAGACATCACAATTTCTTCTTGACAAAAAAATAATCCAGGTGTCAATATGTTGGATAAAGCGGTTGAACCAGTGATGTGGCTTTAAAATGCTGTTAAACTGACCTATAATCTTAACCTATGTTGCTGTTCCAGAAAAATTCCTAAAGAAAAATTCCAAATGTTCAAATTCCTACAGCATTAAAAATATAGATTCATCTTTATTGTTTTAGCAAAATAGGCATTTCTTTTTCAGAGACGGTGTTTCAAATGAGGAGAGGGATGTTAACTCGAACATTGTTCTTTATGACCTTTTAAAGTAAATTATATTTACCAAGCATCTATTACATCTTTTTAGATGCACCAATCAAAGTGATGTGACCACTGAAAAATCTGGAGATCGTACAAAGCTTGAATTTCGTTGGCTGATAACAATTTCAGGTTAAGAACAATCAGAAAAAGTCAGGGTTTTCTGCTCTGTATCTTGGTACATGTTTTCTTTTTTTGCTTTTTAACATGGATGGTTTGAGAGTTTGAACAGTTTGTTTATCAGCACATGCACTCAATCGAAAGACATTTGAATCCAATAAGTTAACAGAAACGTTGAGGCTGCCAAACTGCTCACACCACCTTATTCAGCAGTAAATTCGGGTCACTGACCTGGTGGGAGCTGACCCTTTCTCTCAGGGTCAAATCAACTTTTTTTTTTTTTTTTTTAGAATATCTCTTTACTCTGCAAAATCAAACTTTCTCTCGATGTGGACCAGTCTCTCTGTGTCTGCTGCTGAAAAGCATCCCTACAACTTGATGCTTCTACCATCTTGTTTTCCTGCAGGAATGGCATTCTTGTGCTGATGACATGCAGGGTGTGCATTTTCCTTACTCCATAAAATAGGGGAGTCGCCAACATGTCTTTGACAAACTCGTTCATTTTACCAAATTACCTTTTTTCTGGCTCCTCCTTAAAGGAATAGTACACCCAAAACATGATTAGCCTTCATTTTCTATTCACCTCCATGCTGAACAACACTCTGGAGTATTTTTTTGATATCTCAAATGCATCTGGAGATCTGGGAGGCTTCTTGCTGTCTGCTGACATTCAAATAATGGAGGTCTATGGTGCCCGAGGCAGAAAGGTCCATAAAAGTCCACAAAAAACGTGTCAATATTCCTCCATACTGCTCGTCCAATGTATTCCAAGTGTCCTGAGTGGGTAGCATCCAGAATTTACTCGAAACGAAGTCATTTAGAATGTTTTTAGAGCATAAACAGTAGTGTATAGGATTTCCTGAAAGCGCGCGCCGGCGCGTTAATGACGCTACGGAAGCCGGCAGACCAAACCAGATGAAAGTGCGCATTCAGCGTCTGCTCTGCCGATAATGCAAGCGTAGAAGAAGAAATGTGCTGTTTACCTGTGCAAAGAAAGAAACAACGAAAGAAAAATGTCTGAGGACTTCAGTGTTGAGGAAGAGCATGAGTTCTTTGCCGAGCTGAATGCGCACTTTCATCTGGTTTGGTCTGCCGCGGTTTCCGTAGCGTCATGAATACACTACTGTTTATGCTCTAAAAACATTCTAAATGACTTTGTTTCGAGTAAATTCTGGATGCTACCCACTCAGGACACTTGGAATACATTGGACGAGCAGTATGGAGGAATATTGACACGTTTTTTGTGGACTTTTATGGACCTTTCTGCCTCGGGCGCCATAGACCTCCATTATTTGAATGTCAGCAGACAGCAAGAAGCCTCCCAGATCTCCAGATGCATTTGAGATATCAAAAAAGTACTCCAGAGTGTTGTTCAGCATGGGGGTGAGTAGAAAATGAAGGCTAATCATGTTTTGGGTGTACTATTCCTTTAAGGTCGAGCTCTTTGGTTCTGCTGTGCTCCCTGTCCCGCCTCTCTGATTTATGCCATCCTTACCTTGTTTGTGAGTTTTGGATGGCGGCCCTCTCTTGGCAGGTTTGTTTTTGTATCTGCTTTTCATTAGGATCTGCTGAACTATTTTTTTCTGTAGAAGAACATCAAATATTTTTATTTCTAACCTGACCCTGGTTTGTACTTTTCAACATCATCAAGGCGTCACTTTTTCTGCTTAATGCTGGACTGGGTCACAGGAGGAGTTCATTTAACTAATAATGGAACTATTGGTTGCATCAGTTGGAGGCTTCCTACCAAAGAGGGTGGATCCATATGGAAAAAAAACCTCCCATTGCTTGTAAAAGCTTATCTGACATTTTTTTTTCCTTCCACTCAACTTTCCACAAGCATACCAAGCCCTTATAAGAAGAGAAATTTCTTGTCAGCCCTCCCTTGCAGAGGATTTCACAGCTAAGTCATCATTCTTTGCCATGACTGTGTGGAATATAAAAATGACTGTAAATAATATTTCTGTTTGAGGATCCATTGATAATTTAACATTCCTGTTTTCTGCTTTTAAAGTGTTTTTAAAATAATTGAAAATAAGAATGGTAGAATATTTAACTGAGTAGAATAATTAGCTGAGGAGGAAATGCATAATTTAATCAATCTTGCTGTAGTATCTATTGAGTAGAAAGGCTGAGAGATATTAAGCCGTGTCTGTGTCACAGCCCCCCATTAAAGTAGACTGCAGCACTGATAGCATCTTCACATATCCACACTGTGTTTAAGTCTTTGTCTGAGAGATCAGAACATCAGTGTCGCTAAAAAGACATACTGCTGCCGCTTTCAAAAAACCACACAATGACAGTGTCAGCTTTTTATACCCACCCTTCAGTGTCTTTTTTCTTGTGGTCTGGTTGCCATGGAGCCCCGCTGCGTGGTCTGTGTGTGTTGGTGTTTCAGATGAAGCGTCTTAGTGCTCAGCGCGCTTGAATCACACTTCAGACAGCTAAATGAGTCACTTTGTGTTTCCCTGCAGAGTTTCCTGGTCGTACGGGACTCTGTGACGTCTCAGCCCTGCCTACTTTGTGTTTCTGCAGGGGATCAGAATGGAGAAGTTCTGGATTATAACATGAACTGCACCGGGACAGGTACGAGACAGGACTCTGTCTGGGTGGAATCCGGTCACATGATGTCCCTTGAGTTTCTCTTAAAGAGATTATTTGAACCAATGAGTAAACAGGCCAATGATGTCATCTGTTAAACCACTGCCTGATGCATTCAATTGTTCAATAATAGTACTTATACATAAAAAGATTTCCCCGTTATCCCAGCCGTTGTTTTTGTTGTTGTTGCCATGAACAAGCTATAATAAGGCCTAATTCTTGATGAATATTAGATGCATAATCTGGAGCTGTTTGGCTACCACCCTGCTTTTAAACATAGCTGACAAACTGTCTGTAGATTTGATGCCGGGACTTTCCAAACTTCACATTAGTAAACATTATTTTTTTATATGTGGGATGGATTTCTTTCTTTAAGAACGTTCAGCTGTGCCTAAACTCTTTCATTTCATTGTCTCCAGTTCACTGCAGATTATGATTGTTAGTGTTAATTTTTATTTATTTATTTAATTTTTATGGGGGGGGTCATTGAACTTACTGACCAGACATGTTTGTTTGTTAGACCAGGAAGAAGATTCCAAACAGCACAATGCAGGCTGCCGTTAACCATTTTGCAAAGGCCTGATGATCTGTAGGGGATTGAATACTTTTTGTGTCTGCTAAAAAAAATTCACAATCAATTTTTACTTGTGTAGCCAGATCCTGCTGTTAAATAAATACATGTTTTTAATTCTTTATTCCTGTAAAATTAAATTTTAAAATATCTGATAATAAAGCCCATGATGAGTGTTTGCATCATGAAACTAGCTATGAAAGAATCAGCTGACCCTCTCTAAAACCTGCTTACTAGAAACAATCCATTGTCAGGAAAAAAAAAAAAAAAAATACCACATCTTAAAAAAAGCAGCAAGCAAAACTGCTCGAGCCGTTACAGCAAATTTTCTGCAGAAGTCCTCTTTTCAGACTTCCTCTATCAGGTTTAAAGTATTTCCCAGAATTTACATTTCTTTAAACATGTAATAACGCTGAGCTGCCCACTCTTTCTCTGTTTTTCTCTAATAGCCTTCCAGGTCTCTGCGTCTCGTCTGTCTTTCTCAGAGTTGCCTCAGCTGGTGCTTTTCTACTCTCTGTCCAGGTAAGAATCAACTTTACCACTTGGGTCAAATTTCCACACTGCAAAAACGATCTAGAAATAAGTAAAAATTTCTTAAATTAAGTGTATTCACCCTTAATTTGCATAGGTAAATGAGGTAGTTTGCCAATTGAATGAGTAATTTTACTCTTTAAATAAGATAATTAGATAATATGCACTTGAAATAAGACAATGTAATTGTGTTTTCTTATTTTAAGTGTAAATTGTCTTGTTCCATTGGCAAAATGTTTCTTTTACCTCCTCAATTCAAGACCAAATGCACTTATTTTAAGAAAAAATGACTTCTATAGGTTTAGATTTTTTGCAGTGCAGATATTTACAACATTTTTGGTAGATGTTTAAAAGTTCTCTTTAAAACATTTTCAGTTTTATGCTGCAAATGGCTACTTTAAGTTCTTACGAAACGACTTAAATACATTTTAACATAGTATTATAGAGCCTTTGCAAAGTATTCACACTGTTTCAACACCTGGCCTTTTTTCTCTTATCTAGGTGTGTTAAAGTTAAGGCTGTTTTTTTCAGAAAGGGCCACAGGGTTATGAAGTGAAAGCAAAATTATTCATGAATTTTATCACTTCTGGTAGTGTGACATACACTTATATTCATCTTCTTCTTTTTCACTTTGCAAAAAAAAAAAAAAGACGAGCTTGGTCAGAGTGGATGAAGAGTATCTGTGAACAACTTTTTTAATTTTGCCACGAAAGGTTTTGATCTGAACTTTGATCCAAATGCTCTATTGTATGAAATATCTTAAACTCTTACCAGCTTCCTCATCCCTGATGAAGGAAAACAGGCCCAAAGCATAATGCTTCCTCCGTCATGTTTAACTATAGGAACAGTATGAAATGTACAGTACATTTTTTCAGGACGATTTGTTATTGTGGGACAAAAAGTTACCTTTTGCTCTAAACAGAGGGCCTTGTTGCACATCTTAACAGTATTCCTCGGACGGTTTAAAGCAATTTCCAAAATGGACTTCTCCTGACTTTCTAAAAGCTGCCTTGTTCTTGCCACTCCTCTGCAAAGGACAGATTTATGACAGTCATGACTAGTCTTCCTTTAGACAGAATCTCTGAGGTTGGAGATTTTGCTGTAATGACAATTATAAGAGATTATACAAAAGTCACAGAGCTTTATATTAATATTTGAGGTTACAGACTAACTCCTAGTGGTCTGGAGCACTTCCGTTATGTGACACCAGTTTGCAGCTTTTCTCAAACCACAGTTGTTTAGCATCATTTATTTATATGGAGCTGGTTTTTCTCTGGAATACGTGTCTACTTTGATGCTTTCCGTTTTCTGTGATTGCTTCATTTTTGTCTTTACTTTGTTTAGTTTTTGTGTTTGTCTGTCCATTGAATTTCTCAATTTGCTAATGTCCTTTTTGTGTTTTCAAAAAAATGTTCACCGGTAATTTTTACATTTTTCCTCAAACATGGGTGAAAGCCATGTGCATTTTCCCATTCACTTCACAGTAATGTGCAATTTTTGTCCTGCTCTACCAAATACAACCCTAATAGCATATGGTACACTAATTCGCTGTTAGTTGTGATTTGACTGTATCATAAAATATATTCGTACCACTTTCCAGGTATTTTTTTTAGAGGTGTATGAATACTTTATCAATGCCTTGTATGAATCTTTATGATCTGTCTCTTTATGTGTGTGTTTCCAGGGATGTTTTGGCTGTCTGCCTGTCCATTCCCAGTTTGATCTACAGCAAAAGTGAGATGAACAAAGATCATCTCTCCCAGCTTGAACCTAGTGAGTCTTTTGTACCACTTTCCAATATGAAGAATACAAAAGTACAGTAATATTTACTAAAACTGAGCAAAGTTATTTATTTTTTGCATTACAGATACTTGGTTGTCCCCACCACCTGAGTATCAGACAGAAGAAGTGCCCCAAAAGGAGCCAAGCCACGTGATGTGCTCCATACAGGTGTGTTAGTCTGTATCAAAGATAACTCACTGAAGGAACAACTTCTCTGTTTTTGCTCAGTGAGGAAGTTCAACGTCCACTGATCCTCTCAAATGCTGGTGAAGAACAAAACATTCATTTAGAAACTAGAGGAGAAACTCTGAAAGTTACATTTCCGCTAAAATATAATCTCAGCTCAAGAGAACAGGACATGCTGTTATTTTAGCCACTTTCAGAAATGTCCAAGAGAGTCTGGCTAAAGACCTGCACTGTCAGGACCCTTTGTTGCAGAACTGCACTGTGAGGTGACCTGCTCTGTCAGAACCAGAAGATAATTTTAAGCCTTTTAATGTTAAAGCGAAATAAGATAATAAGCTAATATACTGGAAATAATTTACATTCCCATGTTTTTTCCTGGGTCCGCACAATAGAAATATAATCATCAACAGAAATAATCATCTGTTTAATAACTTATATATATAACTTATAAATATAGCTTATATATATACTATATATATATATATATACACATGATATATTTTATATATATATAAATTGCTGAATATCTAGATACTGCATGACCAAAACAGCCAATAAACCTCCAAATTTTATATATATAAGTCTAATAAGTAAAAGAAAATCACCCAAAAATTACATGATAAAACACAATTTTCTTGGTCTTTGAGTTGGAAAAAGAAAAAGAAAATTTGTCTTCTTCTTACAATAGTATATTATTTTCTTGAAGATTTCGAATATAATGTCTAAAATAAACTTCCGGTCCTGACATTGCAGGAGACCTTTTTGTGCAGGTCTGCAACAAAGCGTCCTGACACTGCAGGTCTGCAGCCAGACCCCTCTAACGTCTCGAAATGGTTGTTAGTAAAGTTTTTAGGTATTTCCATGCATTTTATAACAATTCAGTAAACAATAAAAGAGAAAAAGGTTTGGCAAGCTATTCCCTTTTGCAGGAAAACACATTTTGATTCTGATTACTGGTTGAATTTAAATGGAGAAAAATGTTTTTGCTTTATACTCTGGAACTGATGAGGATCACCACCTTTTTCTACCACAGTGCAAGTAATTGAAGGTTTGCACTGAGTAGGCCTACTTCCTGTCTGATGCTGTTATGATGTTTTTTCTTTTTTTCAGTATCTTAAATATTTTCTTTTATGTTAGGGCAGGGTTTCTTTTAAGGTAATTTTGTTCCATTATTTCTGCAAACAAAGGACATCGTTTGAAAATAGAAACTTAAAAACAAAGTTTATAAAATTTGCAATCCAGATATAAACCTTGAAAAGCATCTTATTTGGAAAAAAAGGTTTTGAGAGCAACTTTGTTGTTTTTTTCTCAGTTGGTATTTTTGAAAATGGATTTGTATATTTTCTACAAAAAAAATGCTTTTAAAATGATTGTTTTCAAAATATCTTTTACTGATTTTTTGTTGTTGTATTTTTCAGATTAAGTTTTACGAATTGCATTCTTTTCAAATAGCTCCTTTAGATATATTCTCTTTACTTGAAGACCAAACAATCGCTCACTCTTCACACTCAAATTGACCAATGAAAATGTTGTTGCTAATCTATATGTAAACCATTAGAAATGCACCTCAGTCCAGAGAAAAGTCCCAAAACTGAATAGGATATGACCTGTAAAGCATTGTTTTAAAAAGAATACTATTTGTAAAACTTGAAAAAACTAATATAAAAAAATATATTTTTCAAAGTTATATTTCTAGATTGCTTTTTTTCCTCAAATTTCCATTTTCAAAAGTGTTCTTTGCTTGCAAGAATAGTGGAAAATTCCCTCCATATAATTGAACTTTTTTGATCTCACATTGAAGAAATGTATGTCTGCATTTAACCCATCCCCTTGGGGAGCAGTGGGCTGCCGTCGTGGGGCGCCCGGGGAGCGGTGTGAGGTTAAGGGTCTTGCTCAGGGACCCAGAGTTGCAGTCTGTGGGAGTTGGGCTTGAACTCAGAACCTCAGGAATTCCAAGCTCTATGCCCTAACCGTTAGCCCGCCAGTCCTCCTATTGCACCATGCATATACAGTGCACCCACACTTTGCATAGTGGGCTTGTTTAACAGGGTATACATTTTAATTTCTGCTGCTCTGATTTCTCCCTTTGGTTCAAAGCTCTGGCTCTGAGTGAACTGAGCCCATCAAACAATTATTTGCTAAAATAATCAGAAGATTGGTCAGACCACCTTGCTGTGAGAGCCACTTCAAACACTCAGGGACGAGCGAGCCTGAGAGTACAGATAGAGCCTCTGCAGAGTAGCATTAGCAATGGAGGCAATGTGCAGAGAAGAGCACCAAGCAGTGCAAATCCAGGGTTAGACCCGGTCTACAATGATTAACAGAACTCAGAGATTTGTTGTCAATTAATGACTTTACACCTTCTGTGGGGAAGATTTGACTATTTAAGTGATATGCCAATGAAGATTTGATAAACATAACTACATAGAAGCAAACTTTGTACATTCCTATGTTTGCTATCTGAAACTACCTCCAGGTGATGCAGGAGGTAAATATGACATTTCTACATGCTCAGGTAAAGATCAGATAACCTATGCTGCAGAATCCTAACAATTATAGACTTAAAGCTGCCTACCCTTATATGATATAATGCAAATACTTGTGATATGGATATTCATTAGATGATTCCATCCATCCATCCATCCATCCATCCATCCATCCATCCATCCATCCATCCATCCATCCATCCATCCATCCATCCATCCATGCATGCATCCCAGGACCATTTTCCTCCTGCAAAGCAAAAGTGCTGCAAACCAGCAAATAGTTCCAGATTAGAGTAAAGTGGAGTTGTGCCACACATCAAATAGGAATCCCAATCAGACATTTTTTTATGGGCTATATTGTTTCAGATGCAACACGTTAAAAAAAACCTCTTATTTTTGTGAGATGTGTTAATGTTTTCAGTCTTTGAGGCAAAACCTTAATATAAATCTTAATGATGAAGATACTTAAGCTAACAGAGAAAGGTATGGTCACTGTGTTGATTGATGTTGGCTAATAATAGTTGATATTATTAATTCTGCTTTCAAATACAAAAATGTGATTTCATGTTTTTACTCTCAAAATCATTTTGGAGCCCTACATTTGAGCTGCTTTAACATGTAAATGGGATATTTTTACTTTTGGTTTCTGCCTTTGTTTTATTGAAAAAAAGGCCTCCATGGAACTGGAAGCCACTTAACTGAAGGTTTTACATTAGTGATAACAATACTGTTCTTCCAACTGTTATACAATAAATATTTTTAAAATAATACATTTATACAACATCTTGAGAACATCTAGAATATATCAATGGAAAAATATTCAGAATATAAATAATTATTTTCTACATTTTGATGGGTTCAACATATAAACATATTTACCTCTAGTTATAGATTCTGGTTGCCAATGATACAAAACGATTCTCCACACTGGTAGGTTGAAATCACTTGGCCCCTGACATAATTAGTTTGTAATAGCTCCGTGGTAGTGGTGAAAAATGGCTTCTTCTTAGAGTTACATTTTCTTAGATTTAAGCCAAAACAAAAAAAGAACTAAAACTAGAGAGAAAACTTCGTCAAGCTATCGAGTGTTGTTGCTAAGTTAAAGAATTAAAGAGGCTTAGAAAGCATGCAGAAGTTTCTGCTTTTCTGAACTAAATTAGATGTTTGGTTTGCATTAGACTTGGTTACTGGCTTAAAAACAGTACAGAACAAAAGTTGGTTAGCCCAAATGAGCCGCTTAGTGACAGGGAGAAGTTAAACTTGTAGCAATCACCTTTAATCAATGCTTTTTAAATGTTTGGTGGTCTCAGGATGCAGACGACAGAATAAACATTGGCAATAACTGAGCTTAAATAAACAACATTCTGCTCCACTGCTTGTTTTTGTTCTTTTATAAAGCTGACTTCCTCCAATGGAGCCTTGTGTATCATAAATCCCCTCTACATTCATGAACATGGAGACGAGTGGTTGACTCACAAGCCGGCGGGTTTACAGCTGTCACACATCCGGCGAGAACGACGCCTAAGCACCACTCGGACCTGGGCAGGGGCCGGGATACAAAGCAAACGAGCCACCTCATTGGACCAGGAATCCAAATATTCCAACACAGAGGCTGCTGGTCAGATATAAATGCGTTAAAACATAATAGCTACATTTTAAACAGGTGGAAAAGCGTTCATTTAAGAGAGTGTGGTGTTTTTATTATACAGGTCTGACCAGAGCCAGGTCCGCTGATTCCCCACTCACCCCACAAACACCAACCGAAGTGGTCCTCAGGAGGCCGAGCCGGGATTTGACATGCAGCATCCATCAGAGAGCAAGCACGGGGAGCCTTTCCACTCCCACCACACCAGGGACGCCTGAGCAGCACCGTCACAGTAGTCCTGTACCTCAGTCACCTCACAGGGTCTCATGGATTGAAGATGGAGTTTGGTTGCCTCCACCCAGGCCTTCTTCTCTGCTCCAGCCGCCATCCCTAGAGCTTGATTCACTGTCGATTAGCAGCATAGAGGAAGAGCAGGAGACCCAAATAGCTAGCCCAACACCCCACCACCCTTCAGCACACCGTCTGGCTGATAAGGTCATGCACCGTCTGTCAGCTGTGGGCCAGGCACTCGGTGGACTGGTGTCCCAGAAGAAAAGGCTGACCAACAGAGTGGTAGAGCTGAGCGAGAGGAAAGGAACTGCTTTTGGAGAGACGGTGAAATCATTTGTAGAGGTGACTCTTAAGGGTGGTTCTGATCCCAGTGGGCCGATGGGAGCAGAGTTCCTACAGGAAGTGAGGTCATCACTTTCATCGCTCAGGGAGATCCTGTTGGACTATCCAGACATTCAGGCAATACTGGATAGTATTACGGACTTAAATGACCCTGAAATTGGTGAGTGAACCAATGCTTATTCTGAAGTACTGTTAACCACCATGTCTACCATCAGAATCCATTATTTCCCAGTGTAGATTTCTCCTAATATGTCTTTGAATCCTTCTCTAGACTCCCTGGTGGAGATCACCCTCCACAAAGTGGCCTTGAAACCCGTCTCCTCCCATCTCTATTCTTGCATTCACACCGCCCGGACCAACGACGGCAGCTTCCAACGCCTTCAAGGAAACTTCCTGGTGTTAGAAAAGAACGGGGTCGAAGAACTTGGTGGATCGAAAGGAGTAGGAGTCCCTGATCCTCTCACATTAGACAGAATACAACAGAGATGGGCAAGTATGCACGAAGCATACTCTCCAAACAAGAAGATCCAGATTCTTCTCAAAGTCTGCAAGAGCATTTACCATAGCATGAGCGCTAATGCCACTTCTAGCACAGGTAGGCTGTTGTTTGCAGAGCTTTGCATTTATTGGTATTCCAGTCCGAAATGATGAGCTGTATACAGGGATGTCATTGGTTCCTGAAACGCTCCTCTTCTACAGGTACAGTGTTTGGAGCAGATGACTTCTTACCGTGTTTGACCTGGGTTTTGCTCCGTAGCAACCTGATCAGCTTACAGGTGGACACTGACTACATGATGGAGCTGCTGGACCCAACACAGCTACAGGGAGAAGGTGAGACCTGCAAAATATATTCAAAAAGTATTTTATAGCACTAGAACTCGTTCCCTTTAAAATCCAGACTACCTAATTTTGATTTTAATTAGCAGTACTGCACAAAATAGATCAAATAGGGAAATTCCAGTTTGCATTTGTCTAAGACCTCAATTTACTACTCTAAACAAGCATTTTTTACTGCAGTTATAGCCATAAAACAAAATGACAAGCCTTGAACTTGTCACAGAGCTCTGCTCAATCCATCAACTACCAATATGGCAGAACTGCAAACCTGCTGTGAAATGGGTGTCCACCTTAGCAGACTGACAAAGAGAGCAGATATCAGCAGCCAAGAGGAGCATGGTAACTTTGGAGGGGCTGCAGAGATCCACAGCTTAATGGAGTGAATCTTTTCACAAGACAACCATGAGTTGTGCACTCCTCTATTTTGACCTTCATAGAACATGGGCAGGATGTTAACAACAGCTGAAAGAAAACTACAAGAAGCATAATTTGCAGCATGTCCATATTACTGCAAGCCATGTAAGGATCACAGACACATGCAAATTACTGTGTTTAGGAAAGCTAACTTAGTACTTTGCATCATACCTAAAGGGAAAGTTTCAGCAGAATCATGTTTTGGGGATGCTTTTTTTCATCAAGGAAAGGGAAGCTGGTCATAGTTGAACAGACTTCGGTTCATCTCAGTATGTATTCTGGTCCACTCCTCATAAGCAAGCTGCTTTAGTTGTTTCGGGTTTGAAGGGTACCTTTACCAGACGGCATGTTTCAGCTCCTTCCAAAGATGCTCAGTAGGATTTAGCTCAGGGCTCACAGAAGGACCCTTCAGAACGGTACATTCTGGATGTTTCTAGCTGCGTGTTTTTTGGTCATTATCCTGTTGAAGACCACCAGCACAGTTCTCTCTAGAATCGCCTGATAGTCTTTAGATTTGATGTTACCCTGCAGATTCAGGATGCCCAGATAAAGCAAACCAGCCCCAGGAAATGAAAGAGCCTTTTACTGATATGCTTCATCTTTCCATCTGTGAAGATAGTTGATCTGCTCGACAAAGACTCCCATTTTTATCTCATCTAGCCATTGGAAATTCTCCCAGAAGCTTAGTGGTTATTCAACATGTCTGGCAAATTACAAATGGGCTTCTCTATGATTTCTTTTCAACAATGGTGTCCTCCTTGGTCGTCTCCTGTTAAGTGCACTTTGACTCAAACAATTACAGATCCTGCAGTTTGACACTGGTGTTCGTTGAGGTTGAGGTTCACCATTAATCTCTTTAGAAGTTTTTCAATGTCATTTTGTTACCATCAGTTTTCTTGCTGAGGGAGGCTCTTTGTGGATCTTAAATATCTAAGTGATATGTGCAACTGTAGTCAAGGCATTATAGCCTTTTCCTTCAACATGCTTGTCTGAAATGTTGTTTCATATCTCCTGATACAACTCTTTCCTTCGCTTCCTCTGGTCCATGTTGAGTGTGGTACACACCATGTCACTAAACGGTGCAGTACCACCTGTAGTCCTATATATATAGGCCCACTGACTGATATCAAGATTTTAGACACATATAACATTAATGAATAGACACAACTTGAATTGATATGTTCCTTTGGTCACATTATTATCAGTCTTTTTTAGGGGTACCATGTATTTTTGTCCATTATTGTTTCATAGGCTTATTTTTCAAATCCGTCTATGGAAACATGAATGAAAAACATTTTTTTGACTTTCATTTGTTCATTTTCATTAAATTGTTCTTCATATTTACTTTTTTTAATAGTTCAATTATTTCTGTGAGCATTGTGAGTTTTTTCCTTATCAAACAAGGGGTTCGAACGATTTTGTTCACATATGTAAATCTGTCAGAAAATTATTGCCAAGATATATGATGTCCACAGATGTTCCCCTACCAACTTATCAGTACTCAAGCTATTTTCCAAAGAATAATACATTTTCTAGGTTGTTGTCCTGTACCCGGTGAATTGCCGGTTTGAACCCCTGTTTTGTCCTTGTCTGTCGTTATGTCTTTGGGCAAGACGGTTTACCTCTTTCCCAGCTGTTGCTGATTAATTCTGTTAAAGTGACCCAGTGTGACTGTGGCTATAATGTTAAAGCTAACCACCATCAGGGTTTGAATGGGTAAATGACTGAATGTTGTGTTGAGCACATGAACTGGATAATGTGCAACCATTTGCTTCCTGTCAGAGACATACCCTAAGACACTTATAGCTGTAGCAGTTAAACCAAACCTTAGAATAGCTAAATATAAAAGCCCCCCACAATTTTAGATATTTGCTTTGAAGGACTATTTAAAACTGCAATTTTTATCCATCCGTTTGACTTCAACAGTATAGTTTTATTTGATAAATGTTTATAAGGTCTAAGGCTAAAATATTTTTACAATAACATGTTCACTGAAGTACAATCAACCAAACCACAGCTTTCATACTGTGGTGTCGATTTATCTGTATTTTCTCTTTTCCACAGGTGGTTACTACCTTACAACTCTATACGCCTCTCTCTTCTACATCAACAGCTTCCAGCCAAGGTTGGCTGCCCGTCAGCTCAGTGTAGAGGCCCAACACTCTATTAATCAATGGCATCGTAGGCGCACGCTCCACTGCAACAAGTCGCGTCGCAGCGTGCAAAGACGGACGATTCGCAGGCAGATGGCCAAGCAGAACCTAGAGACAGAAACTAAGAGCAAGAGTAAAAGTGGGACAGAAAATGAGTCTGAAGAAGCTGGTGTTACAGGGCAGAGCACAGAAACTAGCACAGAGGCTGACTTTATGCCAAGTGAGAACACAGAGTGTGAACAGGAACTGGAAGACCAGCCACAGACCTCTGTGCAAACTGACTTTCAAGCTGCAAAACAGCAAGAGATGATGACCAGCGAACAGGAAGACAGGCTGAGCGTTTGTACTGAAACAGAAGAAACTAAAGATGATTCTGATGAAGAGCTAAAAGGAGACCTGAGGTGACAAAATTTGCTGCCAATAAATCATGCATGAGGAGAGTTTGTTCTCACAGGTGACACATTTGCCTACTAGGCCAACTTTTATTTCTTTCCTAAAAATGCCATCATAGTAGTATTTGCATTTGGACATCACTGAATCCCCTGATGGAAACCTTAGTCTACTGTAGGTGTTTCTGGGGAGAAGTTTAATGTTTGCTCCATGCTGCTGTGAGTTTGCCCTGTGTGCCCCAACTTTAGTGAGTCTGACTTCTGTTTCTATGGTTGCTGTTTTTTTTGTTTTTTTTTAAGATATTTCCAATCATTTGTCTAGGGTGCAAACAGCTTTTTGCTTTCTGAAACCTAATATCTGGTCCAACCTCTCCTCATTTCTGCACACTGAGACGCAGAGTCTAGAGATAAGGCATTTGGCTTAAATGAGGGTTTGTCAAACAAAAAAAGCTTCTCTCTTAGTCTTAACGTAAAATGCCTTGCATTGTCATTTGTACTCCTTGAACTTTTTCACATTTTACGACTTTAGAACCAAAGACTACATCAAATCTAAACATGGCCTAGTCAAAGTTCAAGTCTTATCAAATTTAGAAGCTATGGTAATGCTTGATAGTTGATGTTTACAGACGCTCCTTATTAGTCGCTGAGAGCTTGAGCTGTTACAGAAAGACTTGATAAAAATAAATATTCGTAGATGTGCAAAGCTTGTTGAACAAAACCCCAAACATACCTACAGTGTCAGCTATTTGGTGTTAAAGGTGTCGACTAGAGGACTTACACACACACACACACACATATATATATATATATATATGTGTGTGTGTGTGTGTGCATTTAACACTTTCAACTTTCTGTATTTGGAAAATACAGAAAAAGCTTAAAACCCTTAAAAAACATTGTGTTTCTACTTCTTATATTTACTCTGTGCAGGTCATTTGCACAAAATTCGCATTTAAGTTTGTAGCGATTAAGTGGGAAAAAATATTCAGTAATAAATAAATAAGAGGCTGTAGTTCTATTTGTGAAAAGATTCAAAATGAATCATGAATTCACTTCAGTTTACAGCGGATCTTTCTCCTCTATTCCTTGTAATTGGATGTTATGGTTTGTAAAAATTACATTTTGCAGGATAGTTACTGAGTTTTGATTCAGACTGATCAGTATTTTCTCTTAGTCCTACAGAAAAGCCTTTGAAGCTATCAGATGAATTCAGATCTATGCAAAACAAAATAATTTTTTTTATGCTTTTAAATGGATAAACATAAATGTGCCCAAATTTAAAAAACATTTTTAATAATTTCTGCTAGATGTTCACCAGTGGGAAATTTGACAGCCAAGTTACCACCTGAGATGGATTAGTCTAGTATGACAGTTAAGCCTTTAGCTGTTTATTTATTCAAGGACACCTAATGTTAAGTTGATTTCTGTGATCAGACTTAAGTTATACACTGGTGTAATGTTGCTATTTCCTTTCAGACTGCTGTTTCCAGCTTATTTATCATTGTACATCATCAGATGGTTGTCAAAAATTGTTCTAAGTAATCTTTATTTAACTGAGAGGTTTATGCTTGAGATTATATATTTATGTATGCAGCTAAAACGTTTTTTTTTTATTTATCAAACCGCACCAGTGTATGGATGCTATCTGTGGCACTGTCATTATGTCTGCCTTCAAATAAAGATGTCTTCCTATCCAATTTAACTTGCTTAATGTCTAAAAGCATCTTGGTTTAAAAGCATTTTATTGGTTTTCAGCTCCTTACACAGAGCCTCAAGACTAAGAGTGGATTTTATTGGAAACAATATGAAAATTTTGCTAATTCAGGGGTTCTAGAGCGATGTTTTCCTCCTGCACCACTAGAGGGCAGCACCACACTGAAGCATTTACAGTAGTTTTAACACAGCCTCGAGTGAAGTTGAACTGAAATAATGCATCTTTTGTGGTTTGAGGTTTATTTTAAGTGGTATTTCATTGTAACATAAATCTACTCTAACTAAAAATGAAATATTTGTTAATGTTTTATTATTATCAGGAACAAAGTAGCGATGGAAATCATAGCAGTTCAGTAAAATGGTTGTTTCATTTTCATTTTGTGATTAACGTCCATATTAAAGGTGGAAAGACTCAAACCCCTTTATCTGAGAGGAGAAAATAGCAGCAAACTTAATAAAGGTTCTCGTTTCTTTTAAATTTTGTTATCATGTTTGGTCCCTTTGGACACAAAATATTCTCTCACAAAGACTGTGAACAATGATGTTTTTTAGCATATTCATGAATGCCAGTATATTACTTCAGTCTTATTAAACATTACAAATTAGTCATACATTTTCAGAAAGGGTAACAGTAACTCTAAAACAGGCCATACACACAAAGAAGGTTTTTGAGAGTTTTAAACATATTTTTATAAGTTTTGATGAAATGAGTTTTGCACCTTTGTCCCTTTAAGGGAAGTGCTCTTTTAAGCATAGATATTTTGGATCAACATACCTCTCCAAATCAATGCAATAATTGACTTCAGTCCTAAACATAAAATTGTTTACCTCACAGCTTGATGATTTAGGTTAAAAGTAATGTTTTAATTTTACTAATACTTTTCTCCTGACATAAACTATTGTGATGTGATGGCGCCAGAGTATAATAGAAAATCTATGGAGCGAGCTAAAGATGATGGTGGTGGCAAAGAGGTCTTCCAACCCGAGGGACTTGAAGCTTCTCACCAAAAATAAATGCTTGAAACACCATTGGAAAAATGCAAAAGCTGCTCTGTACTTAGAAGAATTACATTACAGGGATTCTGCCTGTAATGATTTTTTCCCACCAATTTTAATGAACGGCAGGTTTTATTTTTATTTATTATTTTTTAGTTCAATTCTTTATATAAAAGATGTGGATAAAATAGATTAAAAAAACATCTTTAAATTTGTGTTTCATTATCATTTGATAGACAGTATGTTTGTCTCATCTTCTGTCAGAAACAAACTTCTAGGTTTAATACTAAATATGTTCAAATAAGTCATCAGAAACTTTGTTTTCGTGTTTCTGGTCACCTAGGCAAAGAACGAACAAGTCACCGAGTGGAAAACAAAAATTTTGGATGGGATTTTATAAGTTTAAAAACAGAAATGCTTTTGCAAGGGTAATGAGAAAATGCAATGAAATAGAGTCTATGGCTAAAATAATACTAAAAATAAAGATTCTTCTTTGTAGATTAAAACGAGTATTGGAGAGTTGAAACAAAACATCCTTGTGAAAATTATTCCAGAATAGACAATAAATGCAATACATTTTCTGCACAAACATGGCAAACCTTAATCAAAAATTATAAATAATAAAATAATTGAAAAATGCAAAAAAATAAAAAATAAAATGTCAAGGTATGCATAAGTATTGAATTAGCAGGAACAAAGGAAACCGATTTGAGATTATTTCTTCTTTGTGACATGGAGCACCATCCTGCTGCTCATAGCCATCAGACGATGTGTGGTCATACAAAGACGGACATGGTCAGGAAGCCTCTGGTGTTTAATTGATGCTCTGTTGGTACTGAGGGGCCCAAAGTGTGTCAGGAATATATATCACACCATTACACCAGCAGCAGCAGCCTGCACTGTTGACACACGACAGAATGGATCCCTACCTTTCTGTGATTCTTCCATCTGCAAGTTGAAGCTGAGACCCAGACTCGTTGAAACAGGCAACATTTTCCTTAACTTCTCTCCTCGTCTTGTATGCGTGGCTTCATTTTCCCTGTACAAGGCTGGCAGCGGTGGCGCCCAGTGTAGCTTTCTGCTGTTGTAGCCCATCTGCTTCCGATTGGATATTTTCTGTTCTTTAGATCGGTCTCTGCAAACCAGAGATGCTTGTGTGTGAAAATCCCAGTAGCTGAGCAGGTTGGAAAATACTAGCCAACCTGTTTGGCACTAGCGACTGTTGCACTTACAAATTCATTCAGTAAGTTCCCGTCACCACATCTAGATGCCTAAATGAACCCAGTTAGTGGCTTTTAACAGGAGCTGAAAAGAAATTAACCTTATGCTCATTGGTGAGATTATTTCTAACGGATAAGCATAGATTTACAAACAGACCAGCAAAACAAACTGAAAGTGACATTTGGTTTTATATGTATTAATAGAAATAATTGGTTGATTTAAACCCAAACTCTGTCCATTAAGCTGAAGTTGTTGTGAAGAAGATGCTTACAACACATCAAGTCATATGTGAAGATGGAAAGAAAATTAATCAAGAGCTTATTTCTAAAAGCCTAAGGAGGTTAAAGCAGAAGGTTAAAAGTTGCTGTTGAAGTTGGAGCACATGCGGTAATAACTTTGTGCTCAACACTTACAGTAAAAGAGACCAAGCTCAAGCCAAACTCCTCACAACTGAATGAAAGCCAAGATGTTAAAGACATGAGATGCTCTTATTGTTGCAGCATTTCCTCATATCAAATTATTGCATAGTTATTTCTTTATTGCTTTTTAATTAACAGCCTGTAAATTCAAGTGTTCTTGCACTGGCTAATGAATGCATATGCACTGAGAACGCACACATGTAAATAGTTATCCAGGGGCCCTCTTATGTAAATGTACACACTTGAAGTCATGGACACACGCATATGGAACTGTCTCGTCGCTTGCATCCGATCAAATTTGCCTAATGAGACATCTGGCATTCTGCCTGCATGTGGATGCTGAGCTCAGAAACAGCTGGGCCTTCACACACACACACACACACACATGCACACCCCTATATATGTATACATAAACACATGCACACAAACACACCAGCTGGAATCTGAGGAGAGCGTTGTGGTCCAGACCAAACTAGCCAGAACCCAATCTCTCACTCTAACTCTCCTGTGAAACGCACTTCTTTTACACATGTGATATATTATGCATACATGAGTGTGTTACACACTCAGCACAGCCATAAATTAGATATATGGCAGTGGTGGCTGCAGTGGAGGAAGGGGTGCACGAAGAAGAGAGAAGTGGATGTGAAACAAGGAGGGAGGGGGCACAGATGGCTGTGGCCTGAGGCATTTGAGGTACTTGGAGTTAAACATGAAGACTTCTATGCACATACTTAGAGAAATATATATGAAGAGGGTTCAGGATATATATATATTTACATATACGGATATATACATATATATGTCTGTGCGTGATTGTCTTTGGCTGGCTGTATACAATAAGCTGATATATTGAATGCAAAACAGATAGATATAATACACCACATGTGCCTTATTTACATATTTCTGTCTAATATAATTTAACCAGAGGTTTTTAGTAACTATTTGCATTTACCCGATTACATTAACTTGAATAACATTTTCAAAGATAAATGTACTTTTAGGGGTAGTTTTCCAGCATTGTACTTTTTACTTTCACTCAAGTAAAAATGTGATGCAGTATCATTACTCTTACTTGAGTAAAAGTTCTGGTTATTCTATCTATTTTCAGTAACTTCACTTAATGAAAACCAGATTGCTTTAAACAAAAATGCACCATGGAGAAACAGTTTCTTCTTTTATGCACTCAGAGCTCATAGGTTGAATGTTATTTTCCATCTGCTGAGTCTGGAATGTCATAAGGTTGAGTTAAAATATAGTAAACAGTTAACTGTAAGTTTACCAATTCAAATACACTGTAACTGTTGATTGTGTGTATAAATCAAAAATGCTTTTTTTTTCATTATGTAATTACTGTATATTATCTGTTTATTTTTTTAACCTTATTCTCTGAAACTCTAGAATGTGCATATCACCTTATATTTTGTTTAATTTTACATATTTTTTTAAAATATTAAATCAGTTGTAACCAGTTACTCAGTACTTGAGTCGCCTTTTTGCCAAATACTTTTTTATTCTTAATTCAGTAACTTCTTTAGAGACTAATTTTTACTTTTACCTGAGTAAAAATAAGGTGAAGTAGTAAAAATCTTGTTTTCTACCCACCTTTGAATTTAGTTTATAGGATTTAAAATTTCTTTAAATGTTGCATTGATTTTCTTTTATTGTAAATATCATAATCAGAACCAATCTTTATACAGATCTTTTTTTATATAAACTTTAGAAATCTATTCCTGTTTAAAAGATGTTCAATTAAATTCAGTTAATTTATAAAGCTTTAATTCACAACACATGTCATCTCAAGGCACTTTACAGAGACAATTCAACCAGATCATACAGTCAGACTGGTTCAAAGTTTTCCATCCAAGGAAAACCAGCTGATTACATCTACTTATTCACTTGAAGGCATCCCTCACACCAAGTGTGCTTGTAGCGACAGTGGAGAGAAAAAACTCTCTTTTATCAGGAAGAAACCTCCAGCAGAACCAGACATGTCCAACATATCTCAGTTCATAACAAACAGAATATTTACATAAGTTGTTTTTTTTGTTTTTTTTTTATTATTCCTCTGTCCCATCTTTTCAACTCATAGACACTGCTTGTATGCTCAATGGAGGTGCTCCTCAAAAGAAGCAGTGACCTGATAATAACACAACTTAATCTCATGCTATGTTAAGCAGACACTCTGTCTTTGCTGATGAAGATTGCCTCACCATCTCATCCTGAATTGGTGGAGTGGCTCCAAGTGAATGCAGCTTTCAGTTTAATCCTGCTAATAGTTTTCTGATCATCTAGGGACACTAATTGTCTGCCTGCAGGGCATTTAGTTTCTACT